TCCCTGTGATATCCTATAGCTTATTTTCTGACTTTCTTCATGATGTAAGAACGTCCAAACCTATAGAAAAAATTTTATAAGAATTTATTTGAGCCAAACTGATGACATTGCTGGGAAGCAAGATCTAAAATGCCCTGTAGAATGACAGTTTCTTTTATACATGTGGAATTAAGGAAGGAACATAAGATTACAGGAAGGTGGGAGAAAGCAAGTTACAGGACGGTTAACAAGATTATGTGCTCCCTTTAGGGGTCTGGAAAAGAAGATTACTTCTGGTATTTCAAAAGTGTGTTAACTTAGATGCACAAAAACAATGGACACGATTTGCTTAAAAAACGTTTACTAAAGAAGTTATAGGCCTGAGACAAAACTACCCACCCTGACCCGCCCAGGTTAGTAATTTATGATCAGATCACTCTGTGAGGTTACTTTTGGTTAGATTTATTAAAGCACTCCCTTTCTGTCCACATTCTCCATAGCACTTATCTGCAAGTTTTAATTATTTTATTTATTTATGTTTTGTCTGTCTTGTCAGCTTAATGAAGCAGGAACCATGTCTGTCTTGTTTACCATCACATTCTCGGTGCCTGACAGGCACGGCCTGATACATATTTTTTGGATTAATTGGAATATAAAGATGTTTTCTTGCTATTGCATAAACCTGAAAGAAGGCATGATTCAACTCCACATCTAACAAAGTATTTGTTTGTCATAAGTTATAAGTGAATAATACCCGATTTGCTTGAATTAATACATTTTGATTCTTGGGCTCTATGCATCTTGAAGCAAATGTATTTTTTTAGTATAGCCCAGAATAATCATTCAGCACCTTTTTAATCTTACAACTTTCTCCATGTCCGTTTTTCTCCATCTCCCTTCTCTTCCTCTTCTCTCTTTCTCTCTCAGATTTTAAAGATTTATTCTAGAAGTATCTACTTATTACTGCTTGTCTTTTTAGGCAGAGAAACTAATTTTCCCAAGGTCATATAATGATTCATTTGCTGCATTGGGATTAGCATCTTCTAGCCTTGGCTTCCAGGTAGATCATGTATCTAGCTACCATTCTGCCTGGCACACTCTTAAATTACACTGACTACACATGAGTGAAACTTGTTATCCTTGTGCTGCTGTTTCACTACTGATATTTATTTTACATGATTGATACCCAAAAAGTTGTGGACTTACCATAAAATTTATTACCCGGTCCTTACCAGATGCTTAGGATGGTAATTCTTTTCTTCAGTTTTTCCAGAAAGGTCTCAAGCCTCTGTAATTAAAATGTTATTTTATGAAAGTATTTTGAAAGGTGCTATATGTTTTTTAGGATTATATTTCTGATATGTGAACTACTTTAGTGTGTCAGTTCTTGTGAAGAATTACTAATGCTTTCCACTAGGAAGAAAGAAATAAGCTGTTTTATATGGTATTAGAACACCATTTAGTTCATCCCTTTATTGCCAGGCAAGATAGCATTTAACATAGAGTTCTTGATAATGCTGTTTGGTAGAAAATTCTCTTTTTTACTGTTTCTTAACCCAATGCAATGTTTCAAATTAACAATAACTCAACAGTGGCATAAACAATAGCAGTGTATTCAACTGATACACTGCTTATCCATGGAACTCAAAAGTGCTTCATTGGTATACATGTGCACAAACTCTCAAGACTGGTGTATGGGTATAGATAATTGTTACTCCTCTATAAATGAAGAAGCTCAGAGGTACAAGGTTAGTTGACTTGCCTGTAGCAGAGATTGTTTGCTGTTCACGGACAGTCTTTTTATCTTTTTCCATTGCCTTAGGCACACAGCTAGGCTTTATTTCCCAAGCTCCTTTGGGTTATATTACTGAACTGAACAATAGTTCATCTGCCCTCGTACACAAACTGAAAGTGTAAGAGCAGCAGTTTACAGTGGAGAAAAGAATTAGTTTATTGGAATTGTGCCAATCTGGAGAACAGGTGAGCTAATGCTCCAAAATACCTGACTTACCAATGGCTTACAGACCAGAGGCTTTATAGAGCAAAAATCATGTCATCATGAGTAAGAGATTTGGAGTCGTGGGTAAAACGGATTGGTCAAGGGTGAGGTAAGGACAGTAAGTCGTGATTTCAGGTCTTGACATACCTCATGACTATTAATAAGGGCCCAGCATTTGTGTGTGTGTGTGTGTGTGTGTGTGTGTGTGT